ACAGGGTCTCACTAAATTGCCTAGGGCCTTGCTAAATTGCTAAGATTGACCTAGAAATTGAAAATCCGCTTGCCTCAGCCTCCTGAATGGCTGGGATTACAGGTGAATACACAATAAGCATAGCTAATTCACACTTTTTTATGACTGTATATCTTCTTGATGAATTAAATCTTTGGTCTAGAAACGCTCAACATTATCTCCATTAATACTGTGTATCTTGAAGTTCACTTTATTTGCTGTTTATAGGGACATTACATTCTTTTAAAACTTTATTTTAATTTTTTTAGTTGTAGTTGGCCACAGTACCTCCATTTTATATATTTATTTATTTATTTTTTGTTTGTTTATTTCCCAAACATCCAAGTTTTCATCTGTACTATTTCCCTTTAGCCGGAAATTTAAAAAATGAAAAAAAAATGTAGTGTCCTTCTGCTGTTAGTGAATTCTCTCAGTTTTCACTGTTTTGGAAAAATGTTCATTTTGTTCTTTTATGTTGTTGCTGGGGATTAAACCAGGTCTTGTGCACACTAAGCATAAATTCTACCATTGAGTTATGCTCCCATTTTTTTTTTCTTTTCCTTTTTTTGGTTGTAATGCTTGGATTGAACCCAGTCAGAGCCTCAAACATGCTATACTCTATCACTAACTACATACCTAGTCTCAAACTCTTGGATTCAGATGATCCTCCTGTCTCAGCCTCCCAAATAAATCGGGACTGCAGACATATACCACTGCTATCTGGTTTGGTTGGTTGGTTTGTTTTGCGGGGTGGGGTGTGGGGTGATTGAATTCAGTGGCACTCAACCCCTGAGCCACATCTCCAGCCCTTTTTCGTATTTTATTTAGACACAGAGTCTCACTGAGTTGCTTAGCACCTCGCTTTTGCTGAGGTTGGATTTGAATTTGTGGTCCCCTGCCTCAGCCTCCCAAGGCCTGTTATCTGTTCTTGAAAATTATTTCCTTGGATGTAATTCTGGGTTGACAGGTGTGGGTTGTTGTTTGTTCTTTCCCTTTAATTTCAGCATTTTAAAGATATCTCCCTCTGTCTTCTGTTTTCTACTGTTTCTGATTTGAAAGTCAGCATTTGTTTGTACCCTTGTATCTTCATTTTTTCTTCTTCTTCTTCTTCTTTTTTTTTTTTTTTTTTTTTTTTTTGCAGTATGCAGGATCTACCACTGGATTGCCTCTCTTTTTATTTTGAGATAGGGTCTTGCTAAATTGCCTAGGGTGGCGTCAAATTTGTGCTCCTCCTGCCTCAGCCTTCCTCTAATCCCAAATCACTGGGATTACAGGCATGCCCCATTGTTCCGATTCACTTGTTTATCTTAAATGTTATTTCTCTTTGGTTCTTTTAAAAATTTATCATTCTCATCTTTGATTTTTAGTAGTTTGTCTGTAATAGCCTGGTTGTGGGTTACTTTGCATTTGGATTCTCAACGGCTCTTGAATATGTAAATTGATGCCTTTAACCAAATTTGGAGTATTTTTTGAAATGTTTTCTGTTCCATTTGCTCCTCTTCTGCTGGAACTCAAATGTATTGTTTTTATGACAGTTCTCTGAGTTCTTGTTCATTTTTCCCATCTCCTTCAGATTAGGTAAATTTATCTTAATCTTTCTTCAGGTTCTCATACTGTCATTAACATACTCTATACCCATCCTTGAATTTTTTATTTTTGTATTTTGTATTTTGTAAGTTTTTGTATTTTTCAATTCCAGGATGTTTCTTTATTTTTTAATTAGTTTCTGTTTCTTGAGATTGTCCAGTTGTTTGTTTGTTTTTTAAATATTTTTCAGCTGTAGATGGATACAATATCTAAAATTTTTACATGGTGCTGAGGATCAAACCCAGTGCCTCACAATGTGCTACAAGCAATCTACCACTGAACTACAGCCCCAACCCTCAGTCGTTTGTTCTTTATGAACATAATTCCTTTATATCCATTAGCATCATTGAATAATTGCATTGAAATCAATCTGCTAAACCCAAATCTGTTTCATCTTGTGGTGGCTCTCCATTAGTTGTCTTTTGAGTACTGAAATTTGTTTTATCTATTTAGATCTGCTAATTTTGGATTATATCCCAGACATTGTAAATGATACTTGTAGTGTATGGATTCTGTTATGCTCCTCCCGAGAGTGTTGATTTTTACAGTTTTGTTTTGACAGATGGTTAATCTGACTGAATTCAAACCCTAAACTCTGTCTCCCTTGCAGAAGACAGCAATTAAAATATTTATTAATTTCTTATGCATAAATACAGTATTGCTTAGAGCCTATGTGAACATATAGTTTCAGTGATTCACCAGAGATTTGATTAGAGTTTATATGCATATTTGGGATTGCTTCCTCTTAGGCCTTCTCCTTTTTAGAATTAACCTCTTGCCTTGTAGCTGCTGTGGTTGTCTCAAACTTCTCTTACCTTTGATTTTTCAAGCCAGCAAAACTTTGGGCTTCTATGTGAGTTTCAGTTGCACCTTTCTCCTATTGTGGTACCCGCTCAGTGAGGCATAATCTCAGGCCACAATCTATGAATAAAAAAAATCACTAGGACCTTTCCTCCTTCAAAGTGTCAGTTCCTCCTCAATTTTTACTTTGGTCATTCCATAGTACCTCCAGGTAATTGTTTTATAGTATGTTGCCCTGGGAGAGGAGATTTGATGGGACAACTTAGTCAATATAAGAAGTGGAAATTGGGCTGGGTTTGTGGCTCAGAGGTAGTGTGCTTGCCTAGCCTGTGAGAGGCACTGGGTTCGATCCTCAGCAACACTTAAAAATAAAGATATTGTGTCCACCTATAACTAAAAAATAAATATTAAAAAAAGTAGAAAGGATTACATGTAGTTGCTTCAAAACAACAGAATGATAGTTACTATTTGTATGGCATTTTTTTAATTATAAAAGAAATTTAATATAGATTATCTGATTTATATTGATTATTAATGAAAGTGTTGTACTTTTGGCCAAAAAACCTGGGCAGGAAATTTGAAGCCTAATTTTTAAATATTTATTTTTTTACTTATAGGTGGGCACAATGTCTTTTATTTTATTTTCATGTGGTGCTAAGGATTGAACCCAGGGCCTCACGCATGGTAGGCGAGCGTTCTACCTCTGAGCCACAACCCCAGCCCTTGAAGCCTAAATTAAGCATAATTATATGAAAAAATTATATGATTGCTAAAAGCAAGAAACGAGGAGGAAGATAGTTGAAACTTAAAGATATGGTTAGGAATAGAAGAATTTTGTGTCTTTGGGGGAGAAATGATACTGTTACCAGGTAGACAAGAGATGAAGAATAAGTATAAAGTACTATTTTTTTGCTATATGATTCTTTTGGTTCTTTAAATTTCAACTTAAGATTCTTTGTATGACCATTTTTCTCTGTCCATTTTAAACTAGTATTATAGTTTACCACCTTTCCCCAACTCTCATTCTTTCATATAGGACTCTTGTTTTTATTATTGCTTTTATTCTAAAAACTCTTATTTCATAATCAATAAAATACTTATAATTTGACATTTTGAAAATAAATTTGGTTTCTCTTTGTTCACTACACAGTAAGGTCCATAGGGATCAGAACCATATTTTTGTATGCCTAGCTCTTAAGAGTATTTGAAAATGAAATGAATGAATGAATGAAATCTAGAGAAACATGTACACACATGAGTACCAAGGAATGCAGAGAGATACAAACATATATTGTTTGTTCATTTGTTTTTTGTTTTAGTTTTTTTTTTTGTCACCTTAATCTGGAAGGAGGTGATGGATATGAATTTAAGAAAGTCATTAAGGGAATGTTTTGGTTTTTTTTGTTGTTGTTAGAAAAAAGAAAGTATATTTAGAATTAGACAGCTGGACTTTGTTTAGATGATCCCAATTTTGTTGTCAACGTCCAAAGCATCATAATCAGGAGCCAGTCGAACATATGCCTTTTTCTCTCCATCAGGCCTGATTAGGGTGTTAACCTTGGCCTCATCAATGTCATAGAGCTTTACAGCTTGTTTGATCTGGTGTTTGTTTGCCTTGACATCCACAATAAACACAAGTGTGTTGTCTTCAATCTTCTTCATGGCTGACTCAGTGGTCAGAGGGAATTTGATGATGGCATAATGGTCAAGCTTGTTTCTCCTGGGGGCGCTCTTCCAATGATATTTCGGCTGCCTCCGGAGCCGCAATGTCTTGGGTCGCCGGAAGATAGGTGACATGCGGATCTTCTTCTTTTTATGACTGTGGACACCCTTCAACACTGCTTTCTTGGCTTTCAAAGCTTTTGCTTTGGCTTCAGCTTTGGGAGGAGCAGGAGCTTCCTTCTTAGCTTTCGGCACCGTCTTGGTGAAAAAAAAGGAGGGAAAGTTTTAAATCAGGGTGAGGAAAAAATTTACAAGAGATTTGGGAAAATCAGTAAAATAACAAAGGCAAGAGTCAATGAATTACTTGGTAGATTAGTAATTAAATAGGGTTTTTTGTTTTTAAATTTTTTTTTAGTTGTAGATGGACACAATATGTTTATTTTAAATTTATTCTTATGTTATGCTGAGGATCAAACCCAGTGCCTCATACTTGCAGGCCAAACACTCTGTCACTGAGCTGCAACCCCAATCCCCTAACTAGGATTTTTGTTTTTTTATTTCTTGCAGTGCTGGGATCAAACCCAGAATCTTGAATATGGTAGGCAAATGCTCTACCATTTAGCTATGTCCCCACCCATTCTTTTTCTTCTTTATTTCTTCTTTATTATGGAATACTATAAGATATTGGTTTTATGCTAGGCAGAATTATGGGGCTCCCCTCCTCCCAAATGAATTAGGATGTGGTCTTGAGTAGTGAGACACTTGAAACATGGAGATGAGTGGTGAAAAGCAATCAAGTACTTTTAGTTCCTTTTTGCTACTGGGTTTTAGCATTCCTAGCACATGATAGGAAGCATGTTAAAAGCAAGAACAATTACTTATAGGTTATTATACTCAGTTTTCTTAGTATTGAAACTTGCTTGTCTTGACAGCTCTTGGATAAGCATAAGAACACAGAGAGCATGGTGGAGCTTCTGGACTTATATCAGATGGAGGATGAAGCCTATAGCAGCCTTGCAGAAGCAACAACTGAACTCTATCAGTATTTACTGCAGCCATTCCGAGACATGAGAGAACTTGCCATGCTACGAAGACAGCAGATCAAGGTAGTCTTTTAAACACTAAATAGTAGTTTACCTACTTTCATTGTTCTCAGCCTGGCTAGCTATGCCTTTCTTCTTCTTCTTCTTCTTCTCCTTCTACTTCTTCTTCTCCTTCTTCTTCTTCTTCTCCTCCTCCTCCTCCTCCTCCTCCTCCTCCTCCTCCTCCTCCTCCCCCCTCTCCTCCTCCTCCTCCCGCCTCTCTCCTCTTCCTCCTCCCCCCCTCTCTCCTCTTCCTCCTCCCCCCCTCTCTCCTCTTCCTCCTCCCCCCTCTCTCCTCTTCCTCCTCCCCCCCTCTCTCCTCCTCCTCCTCCCCCCCTCTCCTCCTCCCCTGTCTTCTCCCCTCCTTTTTTCTCTTTTTGATACTGGGGATTGAACCCAGAGCTTCTCCATGCTAGGCAAGTACTCTATTACTCAGTTACATTCCCAGCCCCTTATTAGAAAATATTTTATTTTGAAACAGGGTCTCACTAAGTTTTCTAGATTGGTCACAAACTTGTGATCCTCCTGCCTCAGAACCCCCAAGCAGCTGGTTTTAGTGGTTGAGTGCCCCTGAGTTCAATCCCCGGTACCAAAATAATAATAATAATAATAATACTATAGACAAATACTTCTTCTTTCTCTTGGTTTTGGTCTAGCCTTAGCATTTCATTTTAAAGTGTCTCAAAAGGTAATTCTAATGAGTAGCTAACATTTAGAACAGCCTAAAAAGAAATATGTTCTTTTTAAAAAAAAACATATATATATATTTAGTTGTAGATAAACACAGTATCTTTAATTATTTTTATATGGTGCTGAGGATCAAACCCAGTGCCTCACACATTCGAGGCAGGCACTTGAGCACTGAGCTATAGCCCTAGCCCAGAAATACATTCTTGTTAAAATACAAAGTTGTAAATACATTGGAAGTTTCCCATCTCCCTCCTCTACCTCTGTCGCCCTTTAATGTTTTGTGTCCTGTATAGTTCTGAATTTCTTTACTAGAAGTCTGGGGAACATTTCTTTAGGGAATAGTGGTTTAATGGTAGTGTTAAAATTCATTACATTAAGTTTTCATTCATGAAGAAATATGTATTACATTTTCTGAGCAAGTATTAAGGGTTTGGTTTTATAGCTGACCACATGTTAGTGTTACTGTGTTTAATCCACATGGAAGTGTTGCTGAACTGGGACATTAAAATTGTGTTTTATATAATGGGTTAAGTAAGAACATTACATAAGAATGTGTGTACGAGAAAATTATCAGTAACTCCGAGAACTTCATGCTTTGTGGCAGGGATTCTTAGTAGGATGGTTAAAAAAGTTTGAGAAGGTAAAGCATGTCTTTCTCCCCCTTTACTAATAAATCAGGATAGAAATTAATACAAATACATTTGACACAATCCTTTATTTTAACATTCTGAAAAATATTGAGTTGTCAGTCAATTTTATCCTAAACTTGGCTCTTGGATTAAAATGGTAAAAAGAAACTAAGAATTTTTGGAAGTTGGAATATCCTCAGCTTTACAAAATGAACTATAGATATTTGTCTGTTGAAAATCCGATTGGAAGGCCAGGAATGAACTGGATGACTTGGATATCCCACCTGCTGTTAGAGACTACTGCAGTTGTTCAGCCAGTATCATACTCCCATTCAGTATTGAGTACCCAGAATCTATATGCATTCTTAGTTTTATATTATTTCATACTTTAGAAAATTTGACAGCATGGACTTGTGAGGCTGTATCTGCCAATATCATCACTTATTGCTCCCTTTTTCCTGGGAAGCAGAGTGTAGGTAAGGAAAAACAGACAACATACTTTTAAAATTTGTGACATTTTTAAAGATAAAAATGATATTTTCCTGCATTTCTTTTTCTGAGATTTGACCCTCAGATGTCCCATCAACTATGACTACTCTTAGCATATTAAGTGGTGCTGTTAACTAGTTAATTTTCACAATAACCCTATAAATTAGATGATTTTTCTGCTTTGTAGATAAGAAAACTAACATTGGGATGATTTGGTTTTGTTTGTATCTAGTTAGTGAGTAGAAGAGTTGATTCAGTACTCAAAATCAGGTGTCTGTAATTCCAAATAATTTATTTTTCTAATTACATTACTGATTACTCATTACTTTTACGTTAGAAAATCCATACTCACTAGAAAAGCAATTATAATTGATTTGGCAAGGTATTTGTGTTTACATAGTTACACAGAAAATATGTAGTATCATAGAAATATTTTGGTGCTTCTGAAGGTTATTTGCAGCTAATTGAAGTCATGATTTCTGTGTTTTTAAATGTATTTGTGTTACTAAGCCAGGCTAGCTATATCAATAAAAGGATCTTGCTGGCACAGTCTTCTAGGTTAAGTAAATCTTAATGAAATAAGATATGTTCAGTAAATTTTGTGTTTAAGTATGAAAATCACTGCCTAAAATTGAGTAAGAAGCATGTTTCACCCTGATCTATTGGTAGGACATGTGTTGGGTGCACTGAGATAATTGTTAGTTGAAAAGCCTTGAAGTAACAGTGCAGTGGCTTGCAGTTGTAATCCAGCAGCTTCAGAATAAGACAGGAGGAACGCAAGTTTGAGGCCTGCCTCAGCAACTTAGTGAGACTGTCTCAAAATGAGATAAAAGGGGCTGGGGGTTAGGTCAGTAGTATAAAGCACTTCTGGGTTCAGTTCACAGAAATGCACACATGTGTGTGTGTGCCCATGTGCACGTGCGCGCACACACACAATGCGCACACACAAACCTTGAAGTAGGAAAAGTATTTGAATGTATATCATTTGTGGTATCATTAATGTTGAAATAATTCTAGTGGTATATTATTTTCTTATGTTTCTTAAGATTTGTGTGGAATTGATGGCATTATAAAAGCTTTTTTCCCTAATCATTAGTCTGCAGTGATTTTGATTAGATTGCTGTTCTACCCATGTCCCATAAATGATTGCCTTATGTGGAGCCTAATAGTCTAGTGAAGACTGATTTCTGGGAGGATGCTTTGTGTTTTGTTGTTGTTGTGTGGTGGGAGGAATTGAACTCAGTCTTACATATGCTAGGCAAGTGCTTTAACAGGGAACCACATGCCTAGCACCTTTTTCTTTTTTTTTTCACTTTTTTTTGACTGTTCATTTCCTATCTCCATCTTTTGGGAAAGGGAACAATCTTAGACCTATGAAATCTTAATCTGAATCATTGACAAGATATCAAAGAGTGAAGGTAAATCTGTATTTGTAGAGAAATTTATGGCTTTAAGTACTTAACATTAGATGAAGAAGGATCTAAAATCAGTGACTGAAACTTCTACCTTATGAAACTGGAAAGTCAGCTGAGCATGGTGACACATGAGGCTGAGAAAGGAGGATGGCAATTTTGATGCTGTTCTTAAAATTTTAAAAATAGAGTTAGGTAGTGAAGTGGTAGTGCACCCTTGGATCCAATCCCCAGCACTGCAAAAAAAAAAAAGTTAAATAAAAGTGAAAAAAATAAGTTGAAATCAATGCAAAGGGAGCAATTAGTAGATAAAAATCAGTGAAACCAAAACCTGGTTATGTAAAAAATACATATTTCAGTATATTTTAGAAACCTAATTGAATTGATTAAACAAAAATCAGTATATTTCTACAGATAAACAGAATATAAAAAAACTTGTGCCAACAAATTCTACAGTTTAGATGAAATGGACACACTTCATAGAAAAATATGAATTATCAAAACGGATTTCAAGAAGACAGAAATTTTGGTAGTCCTGTATTTGTTAGTAAAATTGAGTTCATAATTTAACACCTTTACACAAAGAAAACTCCAGGTTCAGATGACATCATTAGAGGATTCTGTCAAACAGTGGAAGAAGAAATAATACCAATTCTACACAAACTTTTAATTAATTAATTAAATTTTTTTATTAGAGCTTTATGGTTATAACTAGTAGTTAGGTTTATCCCAATAAATTCATACAAGCATGAAAATGGATCTCTTTTCATGTTCTTCCCCATTCTCTTCCTTTTCCCTCCCATCCTTCCCCTACTGCTCCTTCCCCTAGTCTACTGGACTCCTTTCACTGTCTATTAATTTATATTTGGTTCCTTATATAATCTTATCCTCCTTGCCCCTCTTCCTTTATTTTACCCTAGCCTCCACATATGAGAAAACATTTGACCTTTGAGTTTCTGAGTTTGGCTAGTTTCACTTACCAAGGTATTCCTCATTTCCTTCTATTTCCTGGCAAATGCCATAATTTCATTCTTTCTACTGGATGAGTAGAATTCCTGTGTGTGTGTGTGTGTGTATCACAATTTCTTAATGCATTCATTTATTGATGGGCACCTGGATTGATTCCATAATTTAGCTATTGTGAATTGTGTTTACTAATTCTTTTAGAAAATAAAAGCTGAGAGAATATTCCCCAATTTAGCCTCATGCTAAATTCAAATGAAGACAGAAAAAAGAAAACTACAGATAAATCTCTCCATGAATACACTATTTTTTTTTAACATTCTTTTTTAGTTGTTGGTAGACCTTTATTTATTTATATGCAGTTTTGAGAATCCAAGTCAGTGCCTCGCACCTGCCAGCCCCAGCCCGGAATATATTGTTTTTAATCCTGAACATAAAACAAGGAAATAGGGTCCATTAATCTATAAAAATGATGATATGCTATGATCAAGAGGGATTTTTCTCAGAAATGCAAGAATGGTTTAATATTAAAAAATAAGCCAGTGTAAATTACCATATTATCATAATTATCCAAATGAAGGGGGAAAACACTATATATCCTTTCTACAGATGCAGACAAGTGTTTGGCAAAGTTCAGTACTCATTTATGATAAAACTCAACAAACGAAGAAGAGCGAACTTTCTCACCCTGATAGAGGGCATATATAAAACATCTATAGTTATACCTAATAGTGAATGACTGAATTCTTTGCCTTAATATTGAAAACAAGGTGAGATTGATTAGTTTATCCATTTTTGGATGGTGGTAGTACTAGTAATCAAACATAGCGCCTTGCACATG